GAGGGATGAATATTAACCACAAGGAATACAGAAAGCAAAAGGGTTATGAATGTACTTGCATAATATGTAAAGTAATTTTTACGGAAGACAAGTGTAATCAAGATGCTCATAGAAACAGACTGAAATGATAATATGCAAATGAATATGGAAAAAACACAATAGGAGTGAAAAAAATAAGTAAAAAGGAACCAAACAAGTCTAGATCCGCAGTACATGTAGACATTCTTCTAGCCTTTTTGGAACACATAGCTCTGGTTTCCTGATTCATATGACCAGGCCTTCTGCAATAAAAAGTCAGAAACAGACTGTCTTTGATAAATTTCTTTTAACTTTGTACATGATTCTGAATGGTGAATTTGTCGATTTGTGGTGACGAGTGCTGATAAGGTGTTCATTTTTACCACTACTGACTAAACTAGAGCCCATATTTTGCAGACATTATTGTTCCCTTGGGTTCCTAGTGGAACATAGAGCTTCAACTGCACGTCTCCACTTGCTTCTGTCTTCTGCTGTACTTTTCACCTGCATCCATGTTAGTCCATACTCTTTCAACTCCTCTTCACACGATCTCCTCCATGTCACCCTTGCCGCTTCCCTTTCGGGTTCCACTCGAGGGCCTGACGCTCGATGTCACCCAGCGGCCTCCCCAACGAGTGTCCAATCCACCTCCACTTTCTCCTGCATATTTGCTGAGCGATTGGTTCTTGTTTTGTTTGTTCCCATAGTTCCTTGTTGGTGATTCTTCGCGGCCATCTGATCTTGAGTATAGAGCGAAGACAGCTGACAGGTAGTATTCTCTAACACATTTTGAAACGATGTGCATAGAACGACCTATATACTTGGCTTCACAGCAGCGGGTTAACTGGTATATGCCTATTGGAGTGACCATATGTGAAAGTCTGTTCTTACACTGGTTTCAAAGTAGTGGGTGGATAGCTAAATGATATCACTGTTAGATTTGTTGCAGAGATTTTCTTTATGGAGTCAGAGATCCTCCTGTTTGGGAAATCTGTTGCTAAATTATGTATGTATGCAAAATTTTGACTGTACAGCTAATGTGAATGAAATCACCAATATGATATCCTTGCTAAATTTCTTGTTCTCTCTCAAAATTTGGTCAGTTTAGATAATCACATCTCGAAACAAAAAGTAAAGTAAGAACAAGGAATATAAAATGATAATATGAACTGAATTTAATTATTTTGTAGGTTCTTCCTAACTATTTACAACCTACCTAATTAATACCGATACGGATAAATTACAAAACAGAACTTGAACATACTTGTATAACACTTACTATGCCATACTGATACGAGCTATAAGCAGCATAAATCTAGAATAATGTAAGTAGCTGTATTATTAAATTTTAAAGGGAATGAAAATTAATAGGATAATTAGGTGAGTGTTTTTGAAAAATGATAGAAATTAGAATTTTGATAGAGACGAAGTTTCAGGACCAGGTTAGCATAAAAAGTCGCATAATAATAAAAAGTATTTTACAATATTGACAAGAATAAGGTGAGTGATGTTCAGATGGAAAATTACGGCCTTGAAATAGCATATAAGCTGTACATGAATAAATGACACAGTAAAGTTACGTGACATTTTTCTATAAGTATAATCACCATGGCAACAGTAAAGCGTCGGTGGAACAGCGGTAGAATGCTCGCCGACCGTGCAGGCGGTTTGGGGTTCGATCACCAGTAATGAGACAGGTAAGGAGGAAAGGTTAGACATGAGGCTAGCAACCCCATCCTGTAGAGATAAATGTCACTGCTACCGAAACTTCAAAGCTGTCGCTTGAAACCCTATGTCCCACTTGGAACGTGAAGGAATAAAATAATAATGATGGTGATAGTAACTTGACTGATATCTTCTTCTGTGTACACAGATTGGGTTTTAACCATTCTATGAGGATTGCTTTGGCGAAATGTAACAGCCTAGGTTTCTTTCGAGTTTAGATTATTTCGAACGCCTTCAGACTGTCAACAATATGACCATTGTCCGATAGGTGGCACACAATAGCACTCTTTTGCTATCTGTGAGCTCTTTACTCGCAGGTTCCCTGGGATATGCTGTCTCCAACAGTATCTACCAATTTACAGGTATGTGATAAAGCATACACATTAGAAGAACAGATAGAAATGTTATCTTTCTCACTTCTGAACAAACCACAAAGAAAAGGAAACTAAAGAGCCCACGACATCAAAATAGTTTACTTGTACGCCATTTGCTGGACATCGGTAAACAGTCATCAACCCTTTGAGCATTTAACAGTTTGACTACTAACATCATTCTGGATTTATGCTGCTTATAGATGATATCAATAAGTCGTTATCAACATGGTAAAAAGATGTTTTGTAATTTATCCGTATCCGTATTATTTAGGTTGTAAGTAGTTAGAAAGAACCCTTGAAATAATAAAAATCAGTTCACGTCATCATATTATGTTTGTTATTCTTGCTTTGTTCAACTTTTTTTAAGAATTTTATGTAGATTAAAAGTCACTCAGTGGATGGTGACTACCAGTGGAATGCAGGAAAACGCGCATTTCGTCCTATTTAGGACTCGTCATCCAGTGGATGTACCTGCATCCCTCAGTGAGTGATGATGTTCCCACCGAGGCTCGAACCTAGCGTCCATAGTTTCAAATGCCAAAGTGTTATCCACTAGACCACTTGGGCCACCTGAATTAAATTTTATGAAGACTTTAAAGTGGATAGAAGTTAGAATAATTAGAAAATTTGCGAAATAAATTGGAATATGTCAGTGAAAACTATTGAAATTGATGCTGGCAATTTCTGATCTCAGTTAGATAATACACGCATGTTTACACAGGTTACATTATATACAAAGGAGATCCACAAATTGTACGCTTTTTTCCATTTAAACAGTCACTGACAGATGACTTATTAAGGGGTGATGTATTAATTCGAGCTAGAATATTTTTTTTCAATTCATGATACTAATTTAGAATAATTACATTTATAATTCTTACATAACAAATTACCATTAACTGATAACTGTCATGTTCTTTATTATGATTGGCTCAATTATACATATCTCATATTGATCCAAGGCTATTCTTAACTTTCAAATGATCACGTGTATTTTTCAAACCTCATATTTTTTCCCTACCGCTTATTTCTCTTTTATACTTAAAAGACACTTGATTGCTTCATGCATTTATTCCCCTTGATGAATTTGAATAAAGCAAGAACAACAGTGGTTTGTGCAGAATAATATGGTACCATCATTTATTTCGTTGGCTTCTCATCATCTGCTTACAGCCTAAATAAATTATGAGGTTTATGTACAGAAAGGTTTTAACATACTTGCTTTTTTTCATGATATCAGTTGACAGAAAGTTCTGCAATTAGTGAACAGTGCTCAGAATATTGCACTTATATATTTTTTACACAGGCAGCTCAAGTTTAAACAAAAATAAATGTATGTATACAATGGTTAAGGAGTTACGTAATAAAACGAGAGATGCGTAAGATGCTGAGTGACTAATAAATTAGGTAACAATGTAGTAAGTTTAACTCAAAACATAGAAACAAGAGATAAGCAAAATTACACTATATCAAAGGGGGTTAGGTCAAAGCCAATGATTACGTAATCAAATGAGACAATAAAGACATGCAGTTACCAGGGCAAGGAAAGACTAATAACTGTTTCTTTCTGAACACATAAGTCTGGTTTCAAGCGTTTGACAGAAATTGCTCCGGCAAACTTGAACGGAATCGAACTCCTTTGTCTTCTGATAATTTTAAAGGATTTCGCGATTTCCACCTGATGACCCGTATAAAAAAAATGTGTCTGGTAATAGTGCTATTATAAGAGCTTGTTCCCTCGACACGTAGGCTTTTCGGCACATGTTCAGAAAATCGGATGTGTGCCCTTCTTTCTGTTCTACCAATGTAACTGCTCCCGCAGATACACGTAAATTTGTATACACAGTTGGAGTTAACATGAGAAGGGTATCTGTCTACTCCTGACTGCACCAAAGAGCATGTTGTTTAATGGACGAGAACGAACTTAGCTGCAGGGTAGGCTCTGGCTAGTGACATTCTCAGTCTTCTGCTGACCATTTCTGCAATGTTTTCACCTGTAAAATCTAGTTGAATGAAGACAGGCTTTTTTCAACTGTGATTTGTATGGTATTTGAGCCTTCACATCTATATTTGTTAATGAATCTTTGAGGATAACCGTTGTTTTTCAACACCTTTCCGAGGATTGTAAATTCCTTCTCTAGTTTCTCTGCAGAGCATATCCTCCTCGCCCTATAGTACATAGTCTTGACTAGTCCATGTTTATAGATATTTGGACAAAAACCATTAAAATGTAAGTATTTTCCGTTCCATGTCAGCTTTCGGTAAATTGACTCCTGAAGACTACCATCTTCTAGGCGTTGCATGGTAACGTCAAGGAAATGGAACTTTCCAACATTTTCATGTTCCATAGTAAATTCAATATTTGTATATGCGTCGTTGAATAATCTTAGTAGGTAGGAAGCATGAATTTCATTGTTGCACACTACAAATGTGTCACCGACATGTCGACAACTGCCTGCTTCAACTTTCCTTTCTCAATGTTTGACATGAAGATATCTGTTAAAACAGGGCTAAGTGGACTGCCCATAGCTACACTATCTATTTGACGGTAAGGAATATTGCCAAACTGGAATTGTACACCCATGGTACACATCAGCAGTAGGCGTCTGAATGCCGACTCTGGTAGTAGGAGAATATCAGACTGTTGATAAATGATCTCAATGGTTTCATTGATTGGAATCATTGTGAACAAGGAGGTTGCATCAAATGATGTCATTAACTTATTTGAAACGTCGCGAATGACTGCGGTTATCAGGTATCAAAAAGTAAATATTTGGCATTGAAGAATGAAATATAAATTAGCCAAATTCATTAAAACAATTTTATGTAATATTATACAAAGTATTATAGTAGACGTTTTTGTTATTATTATTATTAAATTACCTGAGCTATGTAAAGAGCACCTTCATCACCGAGTCGATTACCAGATAAGTCAAGACTGATCAGTTTCTTATTGACAGTCTGAATTGTTCCTAATCGTTGACTAATTGATTTTGCTTCCATTGGTCCAATTTCACAATATCGTAATTGAAGTTTAGTTACACTAATTTTCAATACACAAATAAAATAGGATTAAGTTGGTCTCAGTTAAACAATAACAATGGAAGCTAAGTTCTCTACAGAAAACATTTGAACATGGAGAAATTTCATGCATAATTTGAACAAAGTAAGAAGAACTAATTGTGAAGGCGAAAATGAGGTTGGTATATTTCGTTGGTTCTTCTCAGCTGTATGAAACTATAAACTTTTGATATTAAACTTGTTTATGGTCGCATGTAGCTGAGAACATAGTAACGTCATTTTACCCTGCTCAGTTTGTGTTTCTCGTTTTATTTAAGTACTTTCGTTATTGATCATTAAGGTGAAGGTTATTATTATCACTTAATTAAAGAGCATAACTTTCTCTCCAATTGCATATGCCACTTTACATACTCTCGCTAAAGTACATATATCGAATAAAATGAAGAAGGACTTATCACAGTATATCTGAGCGAATCCCAAGAAACTCGCATCTATAAGGTGTGAATGTCGTTAATAGCGTAATTGCTTGCCACTGGTTAGACAGGAGTCATGAAATCGATAAATTAAAATCCTTTAAGTTATTTAAAGTACAGGACAGTTTCAGGTTGCAACGAATCAATGAAGCCGTTGCCATTAAACGATTTATGCATCCAGGAGGGAACCATACTCAATCTGGCTTTACCATGGTTAATATACTTCACATTATTTGCCATTAATTTTGTCACTATAATCATATTTCGTTTTCACAATGTAATTTCCTACCTATAATCTTGTCCTAATCCTTATTTTTGACTGGACCATATTTCGACCTCAGTTCAACTAAATTATCTCAGCCTCACACAATTGTGTTTTTGATTTTACTCCTGTATCCGATTCACAACATTCGTTCGAGATTCCACAGTGTTCTTTACTTGTCTCGATACACAACGAAGAGCTTGACAATGACTTGCACTCTTTCCCATTATGCTGTTTAATCACGAGATATTAATTTCCTTCACCTCTATGGTCAGTGACTGATGTTTTTGAATGTTATGTATATTGATATTAGATTGTTGATGGTTGTGTACAGTTGAGAAGAACTAACGGAATATGATGACTTTGATTAGAGCTGTTGGATTAGTTCCTCTTGCCTTATTGAAGTTTATCAAAGGAATTAATTGTATAAAGCTGCATGTATAAGAGTGTAAGAGGAAAACGTGTCAAACAGTAATATTTACCCTTAGAAATATTCAAATGACTGACCCTAATATGTGTAACTTAAGATGACTGGAATAACTCGTTCTGTAAGTGACTAGCTTTTAGAAAGAAGTTTGAATCGTAATATTCTCGCAATATTCATTTTGTTTCAGGATTTCATTATGAGCTCACATCGGTTAGAGAACCACTGGAAAACATGGGAGCACTCGATAGCTGTTTCCTACATCCTAGTTTGGGACTCTTAAGTATTACTCACCTACCAGTGGGGTTCGAACTCAGGACCTTCCGCTTTCAAGGTGAGCTCGTGGACCATTCAGCTACTGGAACATGACCCAGTGGCTTATGAATTCCAAATTCTGCCAATTCACGCTATATCCCGACCACTAGCCAATGTCATCGGAAGGTCCTGAGTGGGGAACCCTGTGGGTGCGTACTGACAAAGATTCCCAAACTAGTACGGAACAGCTGTCCAGTACTCCAAGGTTTCCCAGTGGTTCTCTAACCGATGTCAGGTCATGATGAAATCCTGAAACCAATCAAAACCACTTGAATTCATTTTGTTGCATAACAGGTATTTTTAATTTTTGATATCACTTATAGCAGTTGATATGATAATGAACAATAAATTAAGTTCAAAACCTCACCGAGTAAATATCACTGTTTCACTCTCCGTCGTCTGGTAACCTTCGTGATGCCGTATAAACCTCTTCCAAAGGAAATTACGTAAGTCGCAGCTTCGACTGAATCATCCGTCTATTATTTAACTCAGAAAGAAACTCCACTAACTACTAATGAGGTTAAAACATGTTCCATTCTGTTTGTGATTTAGTGGGAGACTGTTTTATAAAACTGACAGATAAACTTAAAGATAAATGAAGATCCAGTAACTCCTGGTAACTATCTCCAGGTCTACTTTTGCTGGCTAATAGATATTCTGATAACTACATTGTATTTCACAAGAGAGAGAAACTGTCTCTTGAAAATACAGACTTTGTAACAGATAAAGTTGTCTACATGAAACTATCACCCAAGAGTGCTGAAATCATGCAGCTGACAGCTCAAATGCTTCAGTTAGCCATGAAGCGCATATTCTACGTTGCATCTTTTTCCTTACCACTCGAACATGTTCACCGTCACTGGCTAAGATTAAACAGCTTAACTGTGTGGACCCTACTTCAAGTTTACATGCAGTTGCGGGGATACATGTATGTAGGTTGAACCAATAAAATGTTTCAGTCAAATTCGTAGTTTGCAAATTATTTGCCAATTTGCAACCTACAAAGTCTGAGGGGATTAAATTTCACCCCAGCTTCATTCTGTAGCCGAATTCATACCGGATACACCGCTGATGAGCGCGGCCAAGAACGAGCGAAACGGCCTTCAGGTATTTAGATCACTTTGGTCCGGTCAGCAAACGCCACTAGTTAATGTGATTAGATGCAACTACTCATATCAGCCAGTTAGTAGTATGTAGTTTTATGCAAAAGAATTTAAGTAAAAGAAAGTAAGACGTGTCATCAGCATAGACCTACATTTCAATAAGTCCTAAATCTACCACTCTTCGCTATTAAATAAACCTAAATTGCCTATAAGAGTCATTTTAATTTAGAGAGAAAATAACGAGAAGTTCATCAAAGACATCTTTTCTTTTTTTTGGTTATAGCTTGATTCCACACAGTACTTTTGGTACAAGTATGGAATTTTCAGCATGTGATATCGGTAGCCCAAATTTTGCAGGTCAGCTATTGATATCAGGTATTCGTCGGCAGGGGATCGAACCCCGGATCATGTGCATGGTCGGCGAGAGTCCTAACCGCTGTGTCACCGATGCACATTCACCATTTCATTCTCGAAAGCAGCTGTACAATCACATTTATATACATAAGTTTACATAGGTGCAATTATTATTCAATTCCACGTGGTAACGAAGGTGATTAAAGGTGATAATAATTTTCGAATTGACATGAAAGTTTGTAGGTGTGAATATAGATTACAAGGAACTTAGAGACAAAATTATACAGGATTAGAAAATGGGATGACAATGGAAACAAATTGAAGTAGTAATATTCTAAAACTGAAAATGGAAAGAAAAAAAGGAAACAAATGAAGGGGATGAAAAAAAGAGACCTAAGGAAACAAACTGAACTAGATCCATGTTAAATGTAGAGGTTGAACTCGTTTCTTTTTAACACACAGTTCCGATTTTTCGATGTATGCAGAGAGGGTTTCTGCAGTACGGAGAAGTCGGAAACGCACTGCCTTTGGTAGATTTTTGTTTATTTCGTAATTGACTCTGAATAATGAGTCAGTTGAGATGCCGTGACAAGTGTTCAGTAGGTGTTCAATTATGGCGCTTCTAAGTGAACCAGTGCCTCCTCTTTGCAACCATGCTGGGTAATATTCTCTAACACGTTTTGATAGGACCCGCATCGATCGACCTATGTACCTAGCTCCACACGAGTAGGTGAACTGCTATATGTACTTTGAAATGGTCATATGCGGAAGTCTGTACTTCACATTGCTACGAATCACAGGACGGCTTGAGAATATAACTCTTAGAGTTGCTGCAGGAATTTTTTCTTTAGGGAATTGAAGACTCTCATCCTAAGAATATCTGCTGCTAGGTCTCCCCAGCAGTCCAGATTCAATTATAGTGTTTTCTTTGGCATTAAACTGCATTCTTCCCTATTTGTCTCTGGTTTCATGTTCTTCCCCAAGAAACGCGGATGGTATCCGTTTTAATTTTTTCACAGTCCTTATATCTTTTTAACTACTTTTAAGATCAACCAGTATGATTAACACTTACTGGGATGTACGCACACCTTGCTAGTTTTTGTTAAATGCTCCATAAATTCTACTGCTGTACACCAAGATGAAGATGATATTAAGAAATCTTTTTCATTCCACTGTTTTCCTCTTTTATTCTTTCAGTGTTATTACTGTTGTTTTCTGTTTGTTGGTTTGTTTTTGATTGAAAGTACTTTTGGTAAATTCCAAAATATTTGTTTATAATTGGACTTTATATGTACATGGGTTCTTACCCAGAAAGAATGCTACCAAACAGCATTCTTTGTAATTATTACATGTTCACAATTTGTTATTTATACTTTATTAATTGAAATGAAATGTATCTTGTTTTTGTATTATTCTAGTGATACTAACTAACACATGCTGACCATATGACATTTCATATTTTTAATGAATTGAAGCAGAGATAAAAATGACAGCTTGTGTGTGTAATGTATATATCTGTCAACAGTCAGTTCACAGTTATTTTGAACACCTAGTTTTGTTGTGATTATCACAAATAAACAAATTTCTCAGCTGACTGAGTGACAGAGTACACTGTCAACGTAGAAGCTAACACAAAAGTGTTGCAGTTCAAAGTGCCACACTTCATAAAAGCACACATGGATGCAAAGAAACTATGATAAAAGTAAATGTTTGGGGGGAGGAATAATGCCACGGAGAGTACTGACAATTTAATGGATCCGCGAGGTTATAGAGAGGAAGTATGCTGACGCCACTGAGAATGCTTTTTAGCCTTATTACCGGCAGTATTCATCGATTGGTTCTTAGCATCTTTAGGACCACATTCAATCAGTTCACATTATGACGGTTATTGCTTTTAATTTAACCTTTATTTTGGTAACCTTTCTGTAATGATAGAACCTATGTGATCATTGCAGTACTTCAGTATTCAAATTTGATCACCATGTCAAGGTGTTCAATAATGCGAAGTGTAGCTAAACTCACTAATTCTATAGATGATACAAAAAAAATACTAAGATTATTTTCATCTGTAATTTGCGTTTAAATTTAATGAGTAAATTTCCTCTAAGAGTAATTTTCATTTAAAAATATTTTCAAGAAATTGAGAAACCTCGGATAACTATTCTGACTAGGTACTAAATAAACCTGTTAATGTCTGAATTAATAATAATAGCTTTATTCCAAACGGTATTTGTGGTACAGGTATGGAATTTTCAGCGTGCATTACAATATTGCATCTAATTACCTCATAAATTTTATAAGATTATTAAAAATAAAAAGCAACAACAACAAAAAGAAAAAAAGATAAATAAAAGAAATAAAAAAGAACAGCATTGCATTCACATTTTAAACAGTGCACCACAGGATATGAAATATAAAATTAGTGTGTGATAAAATATGTGAGCAACAATATAATAGTAACAAAGAAAGGAGAACAAAAGCTAATGGGAACTATTTGGTAGAGTGCCGCAGTAAAGTGATCGTGTCATACCTAACGGATTTCTCATCACATAACAGCTGTGCCAGATGAGGTATTGTGGAGTTTTTGTACTTGGTAGTCCTGGCATATAGCCTCCTACAGTTGCTTCTAGTTCTACCAGATGAAATGCAAGGAGAGAGCTGCGTATAGAGAGGGTGTTCGGGGTCTGACAATATAGTATTCGCTAGTTTCTTACATGACATTATATGTCTATCCACAATGGTGTTAACCAGTTGGTTTAACGAAATCCCACTTGCCCTACTAACAGCTTTTAGTACCCTACGCAGCAAAGCAAAATCTTTTTTAAGTAGTCCAGGAAAGATTAATGGGGAGCAGTAAAGAGGGATGGTTAGAATACAAGAATTGACAAACTGAGAAAGCAAAGGCTGCTTTATACCAGACTGCCTTAACTTCCTAACGTAGGACATTAAGCGGAACATCTTTCTAGCAACTAGCAAGACGTGTGAGGACCAGGAAAGATCGGAGGAAATACTCAGTCCAAGGTACTTGACATTAGATGTAATTTCAACCTCTATGTCGTCAATGATAGTGGGACCATGTGAGCTAGCTAGTTAATTTATCTTTAATCTTGCTAGTTACTTCTAGTACACCTATGATTTCGAATCACCTCATTCTTGAATTCATGAGTTAGGGCATCTAAAGGTTTGAAAGATACACACGGCATTTAGGTTATCATTAGATTGCCTACTGATCTAGTACCACTGCATACCCCCTGGTCTCCAATCTTGAAATAACTCTGGTTTGTTGTTTTCACGCACTCATAGCACCATTCTGTGTTCGCGATCATTTCTAAAGGTGAGACTCTCATTGGTTGCTAACTCGGCAAAGTTAAACTTCAAGCACCAATAACTACCAATCGGCGAATGACCTCGATAGCACCAATCACGTGAAGGAGACACTTTTGTGTATGGAATACAAATATTTATAAAAACAAATGCACAAAAACTGTATAAAAGTGTAACAGAGGATACCTTCCTCTCACATGTGATAAAAATAGCTCTCAGTTCTAGGTTGGTGCATCAACACAGTATAATTCCATTGTGGGTAAAATTTATTTTGATAAAGTTTCATGGTGTTATACAGTAATATTTACTGAACAATAAATTGTGCTCGAAACTTCATCAGTAAATATTACTGTATAGCACCCTGAGAGTTTATCAAAGTAAATTTTACCCACAATGGAATTATACCCTACCACAGTGCACAAGTTCTATTCTTACAGCAACAGAGAAATTTAACCACATTCTATGCATGTAATTATTTAGGTCTTCTAACCCTAACAATAACCCGAATCTTTCCTGATCCAAACCCTAACATGAAAATATCACTAAACTAACTTTAGTCTAACTCGAACCCAACCTACTGTCGCCGTTGTTAGGTTAACCTAACCCTAACTTTTCCTTGGCTTAAACAGCAACTTAATCTTTCCAGAACCTAAGCTGAAACTTGTTATATATCCCAATTAATAACATGACACTTCGGTGTGCATATTTTATTGATGATGAAAACATTATTTACCGAATTTCACTAACTTTCTCAGTGAGCGTTTCAAAGTCATTGGTGTGGTCGCAATCCACTGGTAATTAGTGGTGCTTAAAGTTTAATTTGGCCCCTGACTCTTTAAACGTATCAGTGAATCTAGTGTTTTTACAGTCATTTGAATCATCGTTTTTAGCTGTCTTGACCGCTACGTAAGGCAATACGAGCTCTCAGTCAACCATTCGTCCTGTTTTGTTTTTGTGAGACGGTTGATAGTGTAATTAACGTTTATAGTAGGTCTATTTAGCGAGTTAAATTCATACAACACAGGTTGTATCAAGTATAAAGCTTAATCATAATTTGTATATTTAAGATACACACAGAAACATTTCAAAATCATAAATTATTACATACTTGTTAGATTCATCTATAAGTTGAGCATATGTTCCAATTTCTAATGCCTCATTAGCATCTATTGTCAGTGACCTAAATAGTAGAAAGAATGAATAAATTATGCGAGGAAAAAACAGATTGACAAGACATCTTCAGAGAGGTTTAATTGAAAGCAGTTCACGTCAATAATTAATACCATTTAGAGAAACAAAAATGGACATATCACTTTAGCTTGAAAGCCATTTTCAGTGCTCACATAATGTTCCATGAAGGATTGGACTGACTCGTTTGAGAAATAGGTTTTATTTATCTAAAACCATTTGTTCTTTTGAATAAAATTTCATCTGGAATATCTTAAACTTCCTACTTTACAAAAATCAGCCATTATTGATATAAGTAATTAGGCTGACATCATCCTGGAGAGACTAAAAGACGATCTGGATGCAAAACTTCCCTTGGAATAAGCTGGATTCAACAAAAGCAAATCATGTGCAGATCAAATTACAACTCTACGCATCATCATAGAACAGAGCATAGAATGTCAGTCGAACCTCAACCTCAGTTTCATCCACTTTGAAAAGTCAGTCAAACAGCGCTGACCACTAAGTAATTGGAAAACTAAGTCAACAGTATGGCATACGCCAAATCTTCGTCAACCTCGTTCACCAGTTATATGACAATGCCACATATCAGGTGATCTACAACGGAAAACTCAGCGAGGCGTTTGAAGTGAATACAGGAGTAAGACAAGCTGGCTGCATACTAATATCACCAATGACATTCCTAAATGTAGTGGGCTGGATTTTGCGTCAGAATATGGGGAGAGAGAAGATATGAATACGTTGGACTGATAAGAAGACTCTGGAAGATCTGGACTTCACTGACGATTTAGGTCTGATGTCACTTAAACCCGAAGACTTACAGACGAAAAACAACAAGTTGGAAGGAGAATCAGTGATGAGATTACTTCATTTAGACATAGAGAAAACGGAAGTGATGAAGATAACCAACCAACATCAACCACAACCAGCACCAGTCACTATCAGCGGGAGAGATTTGACAGAAGTTACTTCCTTCACTTATCTAGGAAGCATTCTTTCAACTACAGGGAAAGGGATTAAGATGTCAAAGCCAGAATTGGAAAGGCAAGCTACACCTTCATCAACCTGAAACCAGTTTGGAATTCTTCTGCACTCAGAACAAAGAACAAAATTGGGATTTTCACCACCAACGTGAAGTCAGTCAGTTCTTCTCTATGGGTCAGAAACTTGAACTGCGCTTCGTGAAAGGCATTTCTAACAAGCTTAAGACTTTTATCAACAACTGCCTTCATAGGCGCCAAACTGTAGATTAGATGGACGACAGAAAAGAATTAGCCAATAGAATCTCTGAGAACAAACAGACCATGAAATGACTGCTCAGCAGATATACAGAAGAAAATGGAGATGAATCGGGCACACGCTGAGGAAACCACTGAGTGACATATCACCGTTGACCTCCGAGTGGGGCATCCGAGGGTGACAAGGAGGAGAAGACAGACTATGGGTCATCATGGGGCCAGTTGAAGAGAATTACAGAGAATAGGAAAAAGTGGAGATATGCCACTGAAGCCCTGTATTCCACTTGGGACCAAAAGGAATAATAATAATAATGATAAACAAGTTGACTACAATTATGATAGTCATATTTTCTGTGTAACCAAGAATACCTAGTATTTTTAGCTGTGTGGTTCATTCTTTCATTTTTCATCGCTGGTAAATTCTGCACTAATTCATATCTTGTTTTAACAGAGAATCTGTTTGAAGTAGCTTGGTCTAAATTCCTAAATATGATATTTAAGACCGAATTACTCTAAAATAATGATATTTATTCGTTTTTCCCACATCAATTTAAAGATCGTTACTGAGCTGACATTTCTACCTGTATTTCTAGAACACTTTTTTATAAACAGTTCAGGTAATTTCAACATAACATATGTATAAACTTTGCACACTGAGGTAGTGTGGGTATTATACGTGGTATATCAAATACTCACAGTGTATTTCGTAAGTACCCAATATCAGTCAGAGAATTATCGGAAATCAGAGCTCAATGGAACTCTTCATCAATGCAAAACCACAGCCCCACTAGGAATCGAACCGAGGACCTTCAGGTAACAAGACGAGCCAACTGACCATTCAGCCAGTATGCTAGAGTTCACTAATTTGAGAATTCTGATTCCATTCAATTCATTTACAGCTCCACCGCTAACCAGCGCCATCGAACAGTATCCACTTCACCTCGATGTAGCGGACTCCACAGTCTACGATTTCTCATCACAACTTCAGGACATTCGTCTAATAACCACTAATCAACTGAAGACTGATATTTATTGCTCCCTAAGAAATGCATTATCTAAATATGCAGATGTGTTCTAGATGCACCTTCTCTTTGCATTGTAAATCTAATGATTATTTATCTGTGATACTGTATGATAATCCCTAATCATAGTTAGGCTCTACCAATTTTTTCGTTTTGTCTATTCAATTTCTATACTCTTCCCCTTATCACGTCAATTGTTACTATTACTGTTCTCACTTTGAACTGTCCCCTGTATTATTTCACTCGTTCCACTTGTCATTCTAAATTAATTCTGTTTCACAATATTAAATTCTAAGTAAATCTCATATATTCGTGTATCGAATGTATGTCTGATTATATTTTTTACAGTAATAATTTTAACTGATTAAAAATGCCCATCAAAATTTTCAAAAGAATAGACACGGAACAAAGAGTACTCTTTTCGATAAATTCATCGTCAGGTTCTACAATTATATATACATTATAATGAATGAATGAATGAATTAGTCTTATGAACGACATTAATGTTTAAATATCATCGAATCAATAATATTGATAAATTACAGCTGAACAGCATCAACATAAAATAAACTGAATGTCAGAATAATTAGGAAAGGTAATAGTACAAATTCATGAGTTTATAGTCTCTACTGAGGGCCAGGGCAGTAGTAGGGGCTGGACTTGTTTCTTCTGGACACAGAGCACTGGTTGTTTGAGGCGAATTGCAATAGCCTCTGCTGTTTGGAGTAAGCGGTGCTTCGACGATTTTGGTAGTTTGTTAGGCACCCGGTATATTATGGAGAAGGATTCGTCTACGCTGGCTTTGTGACCGGTTTGCACCAGATGGTCTAATATCGAGCTGTTAATACTTTTAACTACACCTTTACCTAGCCATAGTGGGGTATGTTCTCGAGCACAAAAATCAAGTTCCTAGAGCAACGGCCAACATAACTCGCTCCACAAGCGCAGTTGAATTGATAGGTACAATTTGAAGTGGCTAGTCTAGGTACTTCATCTTTCAGTTGAGATAGCACCATCGGTCGTGTAGAGAATAATACGTGTAGTTTGCCAGCATTAAAAGTTCTTTGAACTGATTTTCTTAATTTCTTCGTAATTAACTAGTCTGGTATATCGCCCATGAATTGTAGTCATATATAAAGTGGCTTCTTGTTTACAGATAGTGGGTAGTCCTTTTCGACTTTCTTCGTCATATGTTTCTTGATAAATTTGTCAGGATAACCATTTTCGATTAAAGTATCATATACCATGTTTAATTCATCTTTAATTACTTCTTCAGAGCATATAGCTCTAACTCTGTGGCTAAGGGTCTTCACCAAATTCCTTTTGTAATTGGTGGGAACGAAGCTGTGAAAGTGTGTATATTGTCCCGTCCAAGTACTTTTTCTATGTAAATTTCTTTTTATGCTGCCGTCTGGTTTTCTTGCAAGTAGGAAATCCAGGAAGGCAATTCTGTCTTGGGATTCCTCTTTGCATGTGAATTTCATAGCCGAATGTACTTTATTGAATTCAGTAATAATTGCACTCCTATCGGAACCATTATCACAAAGAATAAAGGTATCATCCATATATCGGCAATAAAATGAGAGCATACTGATAAGGTTGTTCAGAGGTCCATTTTCTAGCTTACTTAGACAGAAATCAGCCAGAATGGGACCCAATGGGGAGCCCATTGCCACCCCGTCCACTTGTCTGTGAAGCGTGGCGTCAAATTTGAAGTTTACATTCATGGTACATCTTAACATCAATTCTTTTAGGATTTCACAAAACGCTGCATTTTTCAGAATATTGTTTAAACAGCTTGTCACTGTGAAATGACATCTCTGTATTTTTTAGAAAATAAGAAAGTTACTCATCTTTATATCTACTTATCACGATCAAGATCATGAATTGGTATCAGACAGAGAATCATTCAAAACCATACAGTACTGCACAGCTGTTTTGTCCTACCTCAGGACTCCTCAGCAATACACACTTATGACATCATCATAGATCGAACCGAGGAAACTGAGGTCACAAGGTGAGCCCATTGACCATTCAGCCTCTAACACATAATCCAATGGCTCTACCGTAGCTAGTATCACTCGATTCAATGAACCTCCCTGGTAATAATAATCTAAAGGTCCTAACTTCAAACCTCACAGATGTCATGGTTAGGTACTGATGAAAAGCCCCACACTAAGACGAAATGTTTGTTCAACACTCTGTAGTTTTAATTCGTTCTCTAGCAAACACCGGTTCGTACTGTAACTTGAAATTAATCAAATCCTTGCAAAGCGACACCTGAAAATCTATTTATCTGTTTCATTAATGTGTTCATTATTTAAAAATAAATCAATGGAAGGATTTTAAATTATCTAAATTTTTGTTTAGATATTCTTGTTGATATTATTTATATCTCATTTTTCAAAGTTTTGTGTTTCGCATGAATATCTAATTACTTAACACATAAAATATTATCTCATTTAAATAAATAATTAAATGTCTTTGAAAAATTACTGAACAAAAAAAGAAGATTTTCTTTAAATTATAGTTTACTGACTGACTGACTGGTTTCAACGTAGAACTTTGCACAGATGTGCAGCAGTTCGAGTTGCCACTCTCCCTCCATGTAGCACACAAGGCAAGAGAAGAAAGTAAAAAGAGGTTCAAAAGAGAAACAATAAACAGAGATATAGGGAAAAACGAACAGCAATACGGAACATCAATAGAATTTTTTTACTCATTATAAATCATAAAGGGTGAATGCATCTGCGCCATTAAGAACGATTGTGAGCCAGATCATCAAGTGTCTCCAGCCATTGGTTTTTACCATCCCGAGGACCCCAAGCAGTCACGAAGCCTACACCTTCCCACATGGCTAGTTTAAACTAACTGTTGTGGATTTCATTGACTGATGAAGCCATGTTTTGATTTGATCACCATTAGCTTTTTTCCAGCCTGATTCATTCTATGTCAGCGACTAACATTGTCCGCTGAGGAAGTCGATGGGTTGGCCAGTCATGTGTAACACAAGTTCTACCCCTCTTAATCGGTGTACCTTCACAACCTCGTCAATTGATTTTCCCTCCTTACCTACCACTCAACCGTCGCCTTATTATACCACTTAATACAGAAAAACAAACTCAGACACCTATGGTCAAGGACAACTAGACGGCCTTTTTATATTCTCCATTTACAATGACCATGTCTCACAAACATAGGGGAGGACAGAGCGAACTGCTGAGCAGTACACACGCCCTTCGGTCGACAGCCAGCCGGATTTCAGGTCTACGTAAACTGGCATATGTGAAACGAGCCTTCTGTATCCATACTGTGATTTTGTCAGCTATCAACCCGCTGGCTTTGGGACCGATGCAGCTCCCCAAATAAGTGGAGTGGTCAACACGCTCTACCAACTCACTCCCTATCTTTAAGCTAAGAGTAGTCTATGTAGTCCACTCCTGCAGCATCATCTTACATTTGACTGACAGGAGCGAATCGCATGCCAAACACTCGACGATTTCTGCCCAAGGTATTCAGTCAATCTACTGATAAAAGTAGCCCACATCATCAAGATTCATAGCAAGTTAGTGAAAGTATTACTGTAACGACAGAAGGCAAGAGTCAGGCAACAGATCATTTATTAAGGAAATTAACGCATATTTATATATGTTTTCATGTACATTACTATGGATACGTAAACAAACAAACACAGTCTCCAGATTGGTTGTTTCTCACGACAAATCTTGGGAACGTAAATATTGACGTAAATTACTGTCTACCAATTTGGCTAGTAGACAGCTCTCACCACATTACTAAATTTCTTCTAATGTAGTTTGTTTTCCCAAAATATTTTTTGTCAATAAACACTTTTTTTCTAAATATTCAAACAATAACTTCAATACAAAGCTACACACTTCAGTGTTATGGCAAGTTTATACAACTTTTAAATAGAAAAATACAGATAAATTACTTTCATACACTTCAGCATATATATACATATAAAACTTGGATAGTATAGTAATATATAATTTTATATTAAATTGTTTAATGGATATATTACACACTGAAACAGTATTGTTTACTAGATAACTTTATCGAAGAGAGTTTATTGCTCATAACCATAGCAATTTTAGATATACAACTTTGAAGCCCTACTTTTCATAGTTCTCGTTCTTCTTTTTCCATTCGTCGTAAGAGTAACAGAATTTTCCAGATATCTGAGGTTGTGTTAAATCATCCCTAGACCATGTATTCTCAGTCATTTGGAGAAATTAAGCTTCAGTTGTCAATCTCTACCTCCACCCTACTTTATTAGATTTTACGACTGTCACTTTGTCTCATTCTGTTGTACAATTGTGTGTAACTGTATATGGTGATATATCTATGACATTTCCAAGGTTTCCTGTATTATTAGGCTCTACTGGTTTAGACTTCTCTAAGTTCTTTAGATCCGGTAATCTGACTCTGATTTGTGCATTTGATCACTCGACTATTTCATGGTGTCAAGTAAACTCAATTATTATGTTGCATGGCTCGACAGGATCCTTTAAACAGTATGATTTGTTTCTATGTGGGATTTTAGATTTGAATGCCACTTTTATTCGAGGCTTTTTAGGAGTCTTACGTATGGTTTCAGAGATTCTCTCTTTGTATTGCAGTACGACTGATGTTTTCAACTCTTTCTGCTTGGTGTCTTTATTTCTATGTATACATCTGGTATACATATCAGAAACAACATATACACTACTAAGAATAAGAAGGATATTCGTTTTCTTGTGTAAACATCTGATGATGAATGAAATTGAAAAGGAAACACTTATCATGGTACAAATTCAAATAAGCAGTTGATAAATAACAGTTTCTCGTCTATTCATTATTGTTCTGTTATTGCTAATATCTTCTTCATAAGGTGTTTTGAGGTGTAGCAACTTAAACTGATGTACTTTTACGTAGTATCTTATGTTTATTTAGCTCTCCATTTGCTTGAATGATTGTGTTCTTCTATTTAGAATCCAGTTTAATCTATGTGACCTCTTAAAGTGATTTAATTCTGTTTTCACAAGGGCGTTCTTTGATGCCCATAGTTTCCTTTTTTTTATCTCCTAGTAAGTAGTATTTCTTGTTAAGAAATCTACTCGACCATAAATACACTGTGTAAAATGGATTATGTATATGAATTGTCTAGTTAACTAGTGTAATATTATTAAGCACCACATGCTTTCTGAGTTACACGAAGCTGATCATTTCTAGCGATTTAAAGATAAGGTCCTGGTCAATAATTACTGATTACTTAGCACTGAAAATTTCCATAACCTTTCCAGGCATCAGAAGGCTTTACTACATATAAAATTCAAGTGTTTTTGCGGGGATTCGATTCCTTACAGGATTTCATCATAAGCTGACATCGGTTAGAGAACCACTGAAAAACCCATAAATACTGCCGTCTGTTCCTCCCCAGTGGCTTGATGGTCTACGAGCTCGTCTTAAAACCGGAAGGTCCTGGGTTCGAATCCCAGTGGGTTAGCACTGTTGGAGATTTCTAAGCCAGGACGTTGGAAACAACTATCCAGTGCTCCCGGGTTTTCTAGTGGTTCTCTAGCCGACATCATCTCATGATGAGACCCTGTAACATATAAAATTACTGTTACTGATATGTTATTACTCAGACGATAGATATCAATGAATAGCCCGTAGCTTTTACATCATACCGTGAACTTCATTGAAAAGGCAACCTAAAAGTATAATAGCTTAAACCTTGCAACTTTCTGAATAGAGGAGTTTCCTAGTGTTAAATTTATCTCTGCCGGCAAAAGTTTCATTTTGAATAGGGGAAAATGAAAGTATTTTAACTATTCTAGGAATCTTAAAATTAACAATGAACTTACTTTATCGTGTTATTAGTTGACAGGAATGAAGCTAGTTGAGTAATCTGTTCTGCTGTGAATCCAACTCTCCAAAACCTGAAAGCAAATATTGTAAAAATACATATTATAGAACTGAGGAATTGCAATCATTTGGAATTAATTTAATATACGTTACTAATAGTGATTACAACACTCACAGACAGTAAAACTTTTCAGCAAAACATTTTAGCCTACTTATCAGTAGTTTAAAAAAATTGAAAAATAAGTGACAACATAAATGTTTCATTATGACACAAAAATTTCAGTGCATTGGTTATATAAAAGAGATTATAACCAGAAGTGATGGGCAAATATAATCAGATAAATTTTTCTGACTAAGTCCTCCAAGCAAAGGAATTCGTACCTGAAATGCTTTCAGTTAGTCGCCGTTAGTTCGTGTTATTTTGCCTGAAAATCAACTTGAAAGTATTCTGATAAACTGAACAGTTGTTTTAATTTCTTCATACTCATCCTAAATATTACCTAACTTGAATCGATTGACACTTGGTAGCTCCTTTTGATTACCAGATCCTGGAATAAGTTCATAAGTAATAATTCCAGTTTAACTACTGTAGTCGCTTACAATAAATTACAATGTATTGTAATTTTTGGTAAATTCTTCGAAGCAATCTCTTGACCAATACATGTAATTCATCTGTCCACTGTCTGAAACATCCAGGACATGAAAGTGTTGCTGTTTATCATTTAGCATGAAAGAACTCATTGAATTACCTCTTACATTTCATAAAATAATGCATTACAACGGTTCGTTATGTTAGAACGTGTCATTATCTTTACTGTACAAAACTTGTTCTAAATTTCTGAGGTTCATTCAAACAGGTATAATGAAAAACACTCCTTCCTCTTTCTATCCATATCAACATCTATAAATTACCTTTTAAAATCCAGCAACAAAAAATATACTTCTGAAACCTAAACATCACTGTCAAGACGTTATCTATTAGGGATCAGTAAGCGGCTCAAGTTTTTGCCGACAAAAATAATTATCTGAATGACTTCACTTGTTTGGGGGAAAGTTTTACATGAAATCTGGTAGATTTATTTGTACACTAGCAATATATTCATAACACAGATGTCAAACAGTCAGGTGATAATCTCAGGTAAAATGAGGACCACAAATCAAACAACACTGAACGAAAACTTTACAGTAATCCTCGAAAATGGCTCCATGAAGGACCGTCAAATCTCTAAATTTAGTCGTTTGTGAAGATAGTTATTCGCCTATGAAATAAGATGTCCTTTTGCGCTATATTATGAAGGGGAAAAAAGTTAAGAATATCTTTACTGAATGATAAGCTATGTGCATAGAAGTCTAACAGTTCTCAGATCAAGTTCTCTTGTGCTTTAAAGTTTCTGTAGCAGTTTGATTGACTTTCCGGGGTAGGGTCTCTAGCCCCACGGCCAACACTCCCTCTTTACCCGAGCTTGGGACCGGCTAGAAAACTAGCGAGCTAGTAAACTGGGCGGGAAAATTTGAAAGAGTTTACTTCCTTCACTTACCAGGTCAAGCAGCATCGTTTCAAATGCAGGCGAAACGGATGAAGATATTAAAGCCAGAATCGGAAAGGCAAGACAAACTTTCATCATTCCGAAACCAGTTTGGAACTCTTCTGCACTCGGCACAAAGAAAAAAATTGGATTTCCAACATAAATGTGAAGTTAGTCACTTCTTCTATGTGGGTCAGAAACTTGCACTGTGCGTCATGAAAGTCATTTCCAATAGGTTACAAACTTTTATCAACAACTGCCTTCACTGGAGCCATACTGAAGACCGAATGGCTGACCGGAAAGAATCAGCAGCGAGAAACAAAACAACCAAGAACCAATTACTCAACAAATACGCTGAAGTGAATAGAGATGGATTGCTGCTGCTGCTGGATTCAACACAGAACTTGGCACCGAAGTGCAGTAGTTCGAGTTGCCACGTTCCAAATAGCACACAAAGGTAGACAGGAAAATGAGAGAAGAGAATCAATAGAGTTTTAACAAGTATAAGAGTGAAACAGAATGAGTAATGGTAGAAAGGAATATGAAGGTTAAAGAGACTGAATACATCTGCGTAAGCCATTGACAACGATTTTGAGCCATGTCACCTATTGTCTCCAGCCATTGATTCTTAGAGTCCCGGATTGGAGACATTCTCAGTAAACTGTTGAATGATATCGCGCGCCAGGTCATAGTTCAAGTGGAACCCGAATGGGAAACGACGAGTGGGTCTGAGCCCTAGGGTGACATGGAGGAGATCATGTGAGGAGGAGGTGATAAGCTATGGGCAAATGTGAGGCCGGCTGAAGAGGACTGCAGAGGATAGGAGTAAGTTGAGACGTTTCGCTGAAGCCCTATATTCCACTTGGAAATCAAAGGAACAATAATAAATAATAACAATAGGTCAAGTTCTCACTGGGTCGACAGTGCTTCAGATTTCAAAACTGACATAAAGAAGATGATTTTCAATTGTTATCCCTTCCTTTATTAGTTTTGTTGCGAATATACTTTAGATCCCGTCAAATATAAACACGACAAACTGTGGACTTACACTAATTTACACAGTTTATTCATCAAAGTGAAGCAATTGATTAATATATCCCATTGACTTTCGCTTATTTTCCAACCTGTTCACATAGAATTTTCAATGTGAAGTTGTTACATTATTAATTTTAAACAGACCTTTAATGTAGACTTCATTAACAGTCTCTGGCTTATCTGGATTCTCTTGTTGTACAGTTATCTTTGGTTGAAAATATTCTGAGGTTTTAATTAATTTAAAGGTTGTTGGATTAAATCCTAATGGTGTTTGTATTTCTAAATAGAAAAAATAAAAACAAGTGGAAATAGATAGCTTTTCTGGGAAATATTTTAACATTGAATGCTTGAAGAAAGATTATTCATTTGTTGCCCCATTCAACAAACGAACAACAAATAGCATTTGTAGAACCAGCCTCTGTATTAGGTATTATTTGATGAACTAATTAATTTGCAAGTGTTGTTTTGTGAGTAAGAGATTGATTTTAAGTTGAATCACAAATTCGCATCACTTAGAAAACTACTGAAAACAAGGGAGTACTGGACAATTGTTTTATCCCAAGATGGGATCTTTCAGCGGTCCACATCCATGGCCGCAGCAGGGATCGAACCTAGGACCTTCAGGTTGCCAGGTGAAAAACTCAGTGGCCCACCGATTCTAGGATGGAATGGCCTTTCATTACCCCCTGAACTAATGTCAGCGCATGATATAACCTGAAAATAATTATTCACCTTTTCCAGTTAGTAAGGTTACGTTTTAAATATGAGCGTGTTGTACATAAAACACCGTTCTGATGTTTGTATCTCAAACTTTAGCAAAGAATTCGACTACTTTTTCTTTAATTTGCCTAGTATTTTTCTACTAAAGCACATGGCAGAAGTTTTACATAGAATAAGTTTTAGACTTTGCATCAAAATGAATATCACATATTAGTATCCACCATGTATCACTAATAGTTATACCTTTGGTAGACAGACAGTTTTCCTGTATCATCTTTGTGTAACCTTAAAATGAATTCAGGTGAACCTGAAGCCCTAATAAACAAGATGTAGTCAAATACATTTTGGCTTAAAAATCTGAATTGCATTCAATACAGCCTTCTTACAAGCCAGACTTTTCTTATACCCGTACTATCCCGGTAGCTTGGTGAATTTTCACCAGATTATTAAAACATGTTAATCCTTTGTGAAAGACACAGGGTACTTGCTTTAATTTGTGTCATGAATTCATTTTGATCAAACAAGGATAACGAATGCAAACCAACAGCTATTGTGAATTATTTCACAAAGCTACTACTACTCTAGAAGCGTCTTCAAATGTAAACTTGATTGCGAAAGCACCATCAGTAAACAATATGGGTTTTGTTGATATCGAAGAACTACGTTTTCTTCTTGGATGAACGAAGACCAGAAGATGAGCATTACATTAGAAACTAACAACTCAAGTAGTTAGTCCAATAAATTCCATTTATGATATCTTAAAATAAATAAAACTACTGTATAAATGGAATGATGCGTTATCTACAAGAAGGTTTAGAAAAACTCCACCAGACTGGAAATCTATAAGCTTCATTAGCGTTCATATCAATTGGTGGAAAGATTAACTAAGAAGACATCGTCTTTTAACCAAAATGAACATTTGATTTCTCAATTCAAATAATGGCTTTTACGGAATATTCTCCAGTCAACAAACAGCTTCATGGCAATAGAAGACTACAGTAAGCCTACAAACGACAAAAGTCTTTGAATACCCTATTTTAAAAATTTATTAAAGGGTATGATGTAGTAATTAATGTCAGGATATTGAGGTCAACTCTACCCTGTACATATAATCAGTATGACAGTTAAGATTTTCGAAAATATTGTCAGCAACCAAATCACGAAGAAATGCAGAAACACTTAATGTCATTCGGCGAAAACATCCTTCGGTATATGACTTAATTTTTAGTAATTAAACTGTTTTAAACCTCATCGTCGATATCTTACCGTTAATCATCTACGCGGACAGTGACAAATTCAGTGGATAAAATATGACTAAAAAATAAAGCTGATGTTAATTTAACGAACTTTTAGAAGGACATCCCAAAGGAACGCATGAATTATTTGCAATAATCTAAAACCAGTTTGTAGAAATAAAACAATCATATTTTGGTTATATATTTGGACGTTGAAAACTTAATCAGTTGTTGGGAATAATATATTCATGTAGTTCATAAGTACATATGTAGTATGATATATATATATATATATATATACTCACTACAGTAATCACATTTACTGCAGTATTAAAATCCAATCCAAATAATATCAGTTACAGTGCGCTCGAAAGCAAACTGCTCCAAAAAGTGAAACCATCGTATTATTGTGAGAATCCTTACCGTCAATGGATTTAGGTGTTACAGACTGTTGTGAATGAGCACTTTTCTTTTCATCTTTTGAACGTTTAGATGAAGGTTGAGACGTTACCTGTTCAGCCAGAAATTATTTTGAGATCACTAAAACATACCGCTTGCTGGCTTTGGATCTGGGATTGCCTTACGCATACACTTGGACAGTGACTGACATTATTTTGCTTGCACAATCCAGGAAAATCTAATTCTAATATTCCTGACACAACATAATATTCTGAAGCGTGTTCAGGAAGATTTATATCTACATACTTGGGTCAGAGCTAGCGTGTGAATCCTCTACCTTTGGGGATTTTTCCTTTGCAGATTTTTTGCCCATTATGTTACATATTTGAAATCGTGCTCTTAGTAACACTCAAGGTCATTTTAGGTTTGAATCATTTCAACAAATTACTCAGACAGGAGTGTGTCAAACTGCTTATCGACGAATCTTCGAAAACCGAACCATTTATTTATGCCTCTATAGATGAGTTACATTTGAATAATACATTCTGACACCATCAATGGGACTACATTATTTAAGCATTGTGGTTGAATACAGCCATTAGTTGATGGATTTACTTGCAGAGAACACAGTTATATTTTCATCCATTGTCTTTGGTTGCGACTACATTTCATTATCCCAGATCACATAAAGTTTTTATCCGATAGGATTAAAATATCTTTTCGGTGTTCTACACCTAGGTATCTAGGATTGTTTTATTAGACATATGATAGAAGGGAAGATACGTCTAAATAAGGAGATTTTTCCCGACTAACAGTGTCAAAAGAAATTCCTGAAGGGATGCGGGTGGGTGACATGGTCTTCTTCGTAGTGTTTAGATATTGTCTAGCCTGGTTTAACTTACTTAAAGCATATTATAAACGCAACATTACATTGCAGTACGGCTACGTTATTATTCACTTTGGATTGATGAAGACAATTTTGAAAGACTTCTAAGGTACTAGTAGTGTCATCAGTTAGCTAAACTTTATCAGCCCTCACTAGACGTAGCTCATCTAATTGCCCAATAAATCAGTAATCTACCTAACTACTAAGTGCTGACAACAAAAACACAAATCAAAGAGACTCTGCTAGTGATGTGACCTGATGAGCACTATATTTGAATAAATGGAAAGGAAAACAATCTAGGACTTATCTAACTGGTATAGATGAGTACAAACTCCGAGAATGTGCATTTTTACTGCACAGCGTGAGAGCGAAAAAAATGGCGTTCGAGCCAGTCCGTATTTGTACGCGTTAAAAACGAAAACTTAAAACACTGGAAGGTACACTATTCACTCACCTGAATGTACTAGGTTTGGCACCACGTATCATTGCTCCTTCGTAGGTGGGACAGGGATAATAAGGAAGGAGGGGGAGTTGCTATATACTTTGACGGGCAACTTAAATGTGTGCGCGCACCGGACCCACAACTTATTGAACTCCCAGACTCCATATGGTGTCATTCCACCGTAGGCCACACCAAGCATTTACTTGGTGGCATCTACCGATCTCCCACCTGTGGGGCAGAGCACAATCAGCAACTGCTCAGCAACATCACAGGGATTCGGGACTTGGGCTATGGCCAAATCATCATAGCTGGAGATTTCAATGCCCCATCACTGAACCCTGGCTCGGGATATGCTATGGGAAAATTTGGCCGAAATCTACTGCAAACTATTCGAAACACGGGACTGACTGAGAATGTTGGAGGCGACACTAGGTGGGACCCTAGTGGAAAGTCATCGAAACTAGACTACATTCTAACTAGTGACCAACTATTCATCGAAAAGGTCCAGATCATGACTCCTCTAGGAAGTAGTGACAATGCAGTCATAAGATTCGATCTCGTTCTCCGTGAACATTTGCAGTGGGACGTTACGCGACCATGTCTGTGTTATAGCAAGGCTGACCATGCTGAAATGCGGAGGCTCTTGTCCGATACAGACTGGCCCTTAGCATGGGATGAGCTGTCTGTGGATGAACACTGGGAAGCGGTAAAAAAGATTATTCATACAGTAATCTCGGATACCGTCCCTTTAGTCAAAACACAGCCCAAAAGAAAGTCACCATGGCTGAAGAGAGGCACGCAACGTATCCTGCAAACAAAGCGGAAGGCTTGGTTTACGTGGCGCCTATCCAAGAGTCAGACTGACCACGACGCATACCTGGAACTCGGGAATCGGTGCAACGCGAGAGTCAGGAGTGACAGGAGATTATTCCAGGCTAATCTTGCTAAAAAACTATCAAACCTCAAAAGCTTGTATCGATTCATGTCGGAAGGAAAACCAACCAACCAGGAGGTATGCGCCTTAGTAGGCCCAAACGGTCAATATCTCACTAGTCTGGAGATGGCGGAAACATTCAGTTTAGTCTTCGCCAAAGAGTTAAGAAACAATGTGGGTATTACCGGTATGGACCAAAATGTAGGCACCACTACTTCACCGAAGGTAAACCTGACGGCTACTCTCCAAATAAACCCGGCAAAAGTACTAGGGAAGCTACAGAGACCCATACCTCGGAAGTCCCCAGGTTGTGACTACATCAGGCCATCTGTTCTGAGACAGTGCGCCGAAGCTCTCTGTACGCCCTTACGCGACTTGTTCCTACATTCGATGGATTCGGGAAACTGCCAAGTGAGTGGAAAAGAGCCATCCATTCTCCGATCTTCAGGGGTGGGGATAGGCAAAATGTCACCAGTTATAGACCAGTAGCTCTACTCCCAGTGGTATCAGAAGTACTGGAAAGTGTTATTGACGATCACATCCGGGATTACCTGGATAAGTCTAATATACTCCATGAAGCCCAACACGTTTTCAGGAGAGGTAAATCCTGTGAAACAAACCTACTACCAGCTTGAGACGATTGGACATCATGCTGGTATATGAATGTTCCAGTCCATGTGGTCTTCCTAGACTTTGAGAAGGCATTTGACACAGTTCACGATGACCTCCTACACAAAATAAGTCAGGCAGGTATAAGCAAACCCCTTCTGTCATGGTTAAAGGACTACCTAGCCGAAAGGCAGTTTTGCACTAAGGTCAGGCGAGTCCGATCATCTTGGCACAGCTCATCATCAGAAGTGTCGCAGGGTTCTATCTTAGGACCACTGATGTTTCTGATTTTTATCAATGATCTACCATGCCGTCTAAGCTGCCCGACTCTTCTAAACGCCAACAACGTAAGGATATGCAGGGCAATAAAATGTCTGGAGGACTCAGATAGGTTGCAGGAAGATCTAAAGCTTCTGGAAGACTGGGTGGTAGCTAACAGTATGACTTTCATCCTGAAAAAGTGCAAAGTAGTGAAATTACGAACCTGTAGACTGCAGAATGCAAGTTACACCCTGTGCAATGAAAGCTTGTCCTGCTCAACGTCGGAACGTGACTTAGGTCTAGTTGTAACGGAGAAAATGGACACAAGCGTAAATTACACGGGGGATGTAGCGATGGCATATGCGGTCATACACTTTACACATAGACGGTTAGGCGCACTCTCTCCTGAGCTCTTTCTAAGGTTGTACAAAAAATACGTCAGACAACACCTTGAAGTGCATAATATCATTGCACCCCGACTGCTTAGAAGAGACGCCAACCTCCTGGAAAGAGTCCAACGACGGGCAACAAAAGGAGTGGTTGGTCTCCAAAATAAACCATATATATATTCTTATCTATGTAGGACACACCAGTTGTACAGGCCTTCGGTAAAGAAATAAAGGCTAAAGAAATTAGGCCGATTCGCACTTAACTACCGTCGGTTTAGGGGGGATTTGATTACTGCCTACAAAACAACAAATGACCAGAATCACCCAAACAAAGGTGTTCTGCCATTGAGTAGGTATAGGCTTTCTCGTGTAAATCCCAGAATGATAGTTCACCAGAGGGCAAAGACTCAAGTGGGCTCCCACTTCTTTTCACTGCAAGTTTGCTGTCCCTGGAATTCCTTACCGGCAGATGTAACTATGGCACCGTCTGCGGACGCCTTTAAGCGAAGGCTGGACAATGATGCATCGATACAAGAACTGCATCCAAATGGCCTATCCCCTTAAAATCGCATACACCATTCGGGGGTAGACAACTAAGTTCGTCTTTTTACTTCTTTACACTCTCTCCCGTCTCACTCTCCTGACAGCTTTAACTGCACCTATTATTATTATCATTATTACCGATATATATATATACATTATTCATATTATTCTACAAATTTAATCAGCTGACTGTTGTTACGTCTTCTTATTTCTTTTTCTGTCTGTTAGTCTGAATAACTTCACTAATTATATCTATTATTATTATCTCTTTTCTTTTGACGACGATGCCGGAGGACTAACTGGCGAAAGGGTCAACTCCATTCACAGTAGTAACAGTCTCAACACACCTCATACTACAAACCACATATAATTAATCCCTGCACTACTCCTTTTGGAGTCAACCAAAGCTACAACAGTCGAGTGGCGGGAGGAGCTACGCAGACGTTTACCGAAGATCAGGAACCTGTACCTCACAATCAAGAGGCAAGCACAAAGAAATCAAATTGGTTTATACTAGCTCGTAAAAACGGTATTGGATATTGGAGCTGTGTTTTGCTGTTCTGTAAATTGAATTGTTAGCATAGTTGAAAACTGTCGGTCATTTATCAGACTTTTACAACCCTCTGTCGATGTATGTATACATCATAATTTACCTATGTTTTACGAACATTTCACAACCTTCTCCCCGCCCCTATGTTCTTACTTCTCTATGTTCAAAAAGTTAATGATTCGAGTACTAACCACCTAATCTCTTAACAGGTTTCCGTTTTTTGTTTGTCAAAGTGACAATGTCATCTGTTGAAAGTAGTCATTCATATCATAACAAATTTGAATATGAGTGAATACTTCGTTTAAATAAAGAATGCATCTGAGTGACACAGGTAATCGCATAATAACATACATTGAAGATGCATCTCGACTGAGTCAAGCACTTTAGAAGGTGAGAGGGTGAGGAGAGCTAATCAGCAGATCTGAAGGTGGGGACATACGCGAACCACCCTTTTCTGTGGGACAGCACTATCGTTTGATACAGCTGCTGAGTTTGAACGACTTCCTCATAAAACGAAAAAGAAATCCTGAATGTCAACCCTTAAGTACGAACTGCCTACTGAACGCAAGTGCATTGTATCAACTCAGTCTTTCAGATAGCCATACTATTGTGTATTTCTCCGCCGCAGTATGCACATTACCAACCCTCCTCTTCTTATGTCACTCAACCCCCAATCGATGCCACTATCGTCGCCAATTTGGTTGCAAAGCATGGTAATATGGTCATAATAGAAGAAGAACTTCAGGTGAGCCACTTCTT